CAAGAGGCAGACAGATCCCAGTGTACACTGAGTTTGTAGTCCGCCAGATTCATTTTGGAAAACGGGGACTCCCTGGATGGGGAGAGAAGGGATTTCAAACTGCATGCAAATAGGAACCTTGCAAGTCGCTCTTATCTGTTTTTCACAAATGACCAATGATGGGGATTAAACATTTTAAAAGAACTAAAAACTCATTTGATAGTACAAATTTATAACCTGAGCTTTCATTTTATTAGTAATTCTGTGTCAAGGGAGCTCTGTGTCCCATAAATCAATCATGGAGATAAATGTGGCGATTTGTTAAAGAAAACACAAACTGAAGTAGTTTGGAAACTCCCATCGATGTCAGCTGTGAGCATTGGTTAACTGGGCTCAGTTATTTAATTCGTAATTAAACTCACTGTTTTTAAGTTTTACTTTGAGAAGTCTTCATCAAGGTAGAATATGAATATGCCTAGATTATAGGGCTTTGATTGTCAGGTATTTGGGGCTAACTTTAGGGTGATGTTAGAAAAAAAAATGACTTCTTTTCACTTACAATCCCTTAATAACAATGTACCCGGGCGTGTATTTAACTTCTCTAGGTCAACCACGTGTTGATCCTTATTCTTTTAATGTTTTACATTAATCTCCATGATTTCTATTAGTGCTGGCTGCTGCTTGTGAATCTCAATGCCACAATCAGGGTATTTTTGACATCTTGTATTACCCTAATCGCCAGGAAGTATGCTCTAAACTGATTAATTCAAGAATGATTAAAACATCCTATGTAATTCATTTATTGTTGCTACAGTTAATAGAATATTTGATGATTTAGCGGCATCTTATTATTTCATAAGATATGTATTTGTCACCAGGCAGACGATCTGTGCATGGTGCCTCTGTGGCTACATGGGGTGGCAGCCGGAACCGTCAGATGCAGAGAGAGTAGACACTTGTGAGGGCTCCCAGGCAACTCACCACCTGCCCAATGTGCTCCTCCCTTTCCTGGCCCTCAGAGGACCACGGCCATGCCCAGCACAAGAGGGTCGTCTGGGGCCAGGAGTGAGAGCCGGCTTCCCCTGTGAGCCGTGCAGCTTGCTTTCTGCTCCGAGAGGAGGGGGTGGAGAGGGGGAATACGAAAGGACGCTGCAGCTCTGAGTGGCTAACTTGCGCTTTGTGGACTATCTGAATACTCAAGAGTGGATTTAAAGAGAGGAGAAGGTGGCTCCGGAATTAAGCAGCAGCTTGGCAACTTGGCAGGCAGCAGTTCTAATCCCAGTGCCACCACTAGTTCTCTTCCTCACTCTTTCTTTCATACCTGTCTGAGTGAGTCCTCCAGAATTGCTGGGAGAGGTGTTTGTGAGTGTGTGTGTAAGAGCCAAAGGGAGTGCAAAAGGACAGAATCCAGGGCTGAGCCCCAGCTTTAGCACAGCTCACTTCCAGTGTGCAGAGTGACCCCGGCGCGGCTCTGCAAGGGGCACAGAGACTGAAGTGGCCTCAGGAGGCCCCAGCACTGCTCAGCCATGTCAAATCCTTGGCCTCTCACTCCCATATGGAGTGAGGACTACAGTGGGGACCTCGGCGGCTGGGAGCTTCTGTCAGACATGGCTCTGTCTGTGGACCCGGTAGGTACCCTTTTCCTGGCACTTAAATCAGACCTCCTGTTTGATATTGTCTGTTTTCCCCCCATAAATGTTGTCTCCCCGGTTTGTGTGGCGTCTTAAACGCAGAAATGATGCTGTCTTCAGTGTCTTTCAATCCTCCCCCTTGGCACCATCCTGAGCACAGTGTGAGCTCAATCAGGATTTGTTGTCTAAAGAAATAAATGGGAGAACTGATGAATGGGCGGACAGCCCGGGAATGAATAAGATCCTATTACCCTTGTCAAGCCTACCTTACAATGTATGTCCCAGTGGGTCCCTAATTGTTTGTTTTCCTGTCCCATCTAGACGTTTAACTCTGGGATAAAGAGACTGAGTCTCCTAGTGATTTGTATTACCAACCCCCGTGCCTTGCACTTTTCTAGGCACGGAAATATTTGCTGGTTCATTAAAAAGCATTTGCAGCTCAAATGTAGTTGTCTGTGGGGGAAAGCAGCTGTGGGGCAGGGCAAGATGGATTTGTGGAACTAGTGACTTCATGAGAATGTTGGATTCCAACATTTTCTCAAAAAGAAAAATATCCGAACACTTTGACTTTGACTGCTCTTGTCTGTAAAGTTCTTGTCAGTCCTGAGTGTTACCGGCCCCCATAGTCATTGTTAGATTTGCTGTAAAGCCCCAGAGTCCCCGAGTCTTTCTATTTTGACAGCATTTCCTCCTGTAAAGAAGTGGATATTTATAATTCCAGGTAAGAGATGGTATTTGCAGTTGGCAAGAGTAAGTCAGATCTTAGTTTGAAAAGACAAGGAGACTGGACTTAATAGAAGTGAGGGGAACAACAGGACAAGGTTAATAACCTGACTCATCGTGTGGGGCTTTGCAGCTTACACAGCACATTCACAGCACTTATTTCATTTGGTGCTCGCAGAGACCCTGTTACTTAAAAGGGACAGGTATAATTTTTATTTTATTTTATTGTACTTCATTTTAATTTTACAGGTGGGAAAACTAGAACTCAGAGGGGTAAGGTTGATAAAGTTATTAAGTCCTGTTTTTAAAAGTGATAGATCAGCTCTTTTGACTTCTAGGCACGTGCTCTTGCTATGTCTGAGTATCACTGAGTATTTGTTATCTTTAATTCAGAAATTATCACTGATGTGTTTGTATGGAGGAAGGAGAACAAAGACCTTTTCCAGAGAATAGGCCATCATGTTTAGCTTAGGCAGCCCACACTAATGCAACGCAACAATCATATTGAAAAGTTAAGCCTTTGTTACAATCGTTTTGATCTTTATAGTTGGGAAAGGTATTGCTTAGGAAGTTCAAGAATTGTCTTGGAAAATATAGTTTCTGGAGCACTGAGTAATGGAATGAGATATTATTTATGGGTAAGAATTACCAGTTGAGTCCTATAATCATGGAACATGTTAGACCAGTATCTACCAGCGTATGTTCTGCCAACACTCATTCAATGGAATAGCAATAGTTGTTAATTGAAAATCGAAAAAACCAGTAACTAACTAAAACTAAAAACTTGAGAATTCGAGGGTAAAGGAATGTGGGGATGTGCTGCAGTAAAATAAGTGAGATAGACATCTCAGAGCCTTGACGTGCATTATGGATCTCTAAGAGGGAGAGTGTGCATTACAGCATTTCTCACATTTATTTGGACACAGAACCTTGTATTTTGTGGAATGAGTGTCAGCTGGATGGTCTCCTTTGTAGTACTTAACCACAGTTTAGAGTTATGCTTTTACTGTGTGATTCTTCACATCTACCTTCCCTTCGAGACTCCTTCCAAACTCCATGAGTGAGGAAACTGTCTCTGTCTTTGCTTCCCATTGTACCTCTGCGTAGCACCAACCTGGTGGCACAGTCCTCGGCCCTCACAAAATATTCATTGACTGAATGAATGAATGAACTGTGCCAGGTCAAATCCCCTGTGGTTCTCTACTGAAATCTGTATTTCAAGTTTTTTTTTATAATGTATGCCCAGCCAACGTTTTAAGCTTTTTCTTCTCTCTTTCTTCTACCTCGGACTAGAATATTATTTGGCATTGGGAGGGTGACTATATAATTTCTCATCCAGACTGGGACATTTATGAAGGTGAAAGCAAATGCTATCAATGGTTATACAATGACAAGTATAACTAGGACTTTGTTGGGCGCCCCATGATTGCTAGTCCCTCATGTCAGCCTGTCTCCCCTACCTGGGATTTTATGCTTCTCAGAGCAGGGACCCTTACATGTAGGAGGTGTTCCATAAACACTGGTTGAAATTAATGAAGGTACAGTAGTAACTTTAATGCTGATGAAAGATTTACCATATATTTAAATATTTTTTTATTGAGGAAATCTGGTTCCATAATCTGTTTCCCATTTCCTCAAATAGAGTTAGCTCATACTGCAATCTATCAGAAAGTAACTAATTGCCCTTGCGAGAGACCTGGGGTGTGCAGACACTGTGGAAGTGCTCTTTACAGGAGTGGTCTTTCATCTATCGAGGCAGGGAATGAAAGAGACCCACTGTTCTCCCTACCACAACAGGAGGGAAGCAGAAGTGATCAGATTGTAATTCTGGAGAGGGCTAAGGTGTTTGAGGGATGCCCTTACTTAACCTGCACAGGTGATGTGCTGATCAGCAGACGTTTATCTAGACAGTAGTCCCACTCCCAAGTTCCTCATCACTCACTACCTGGAGGCTGACATCTTAATTTGGTATTTAGCTTCTAGCTTTCACTGACTCTGGAACTGACTCCAGAGGAAAGGGCTGTGTGCCTGACACAGAGAGAGTCCTCAGCATGTTTCTGCCAGTGGCTTGAATTGTGACTGACTCAGAAAGTGACACACTGGGAAAGATGCCTCATGAGATTCACTTGCTGTATTCCTGAGATTCTCTCTAAGTGCCCAGGCACGCTTACAATTTACACAGATGTCTACCCTTAGCATTTGGGTAAGAATTGCAGGCATCTGGTTGGGCACCCAACTTCAGAAAGAGTTCGATTTAATCACAGAAGTGGTTTATATAGGCCTCATCTGTTTAATGACTAATATACTGAACTATGTCAGAGGGTTGAAGAGGCCTTGAAGGTCACAAGGTCGAGCTTCCACTTTGTATAGAAGAGTAAAACGAAGCCTGGGGGAAGGGCGATGGCTCAGTGTCTCACCGCGAATCAGTGACAGAACAAGGAGTTTTTTTCCTGCACCTTGCACTGTGGTCTTATTGCTTCATCAAAGTAAAACAAAATGAGTCATTTGTAGATACTTACTTCACCGCTCCATGGTTAATACACAAATAATATGGGTAGCTCAATTTTCTCTCTACAATTTGTCCTACGGAGTAAACTATTATGCAGTAAGCTTCTCTGAGAACAACTAGATGGTGCTTAATTTTTGTTGTTGTTTATTTTGTTTTAGGTGAGCCTTCCCAGTGACCCAAGCTGTGTTGAAGAAATCTTGCGGGTGAGTTGCAACCTTTATTTCTGTGCCTTTTAATAATGAAGTAATCTATCCGCTTAAGCTGTTTGAAGTAATTACTGTTGTGTTTCAATGAGTGCCATCCTGGGGAGTTTCCTTATCCTTATGCTTATCCCAACTGTCTTGTTTCTTACCTGTCGTCTCTCCATCTTCTCACTGAGCTGGTCTTCTAGGATGGCTCGGCTTCTGCCCCATACCTCCATCCTTATCACACACAGCCTCACCAGCTTCTTTCGGAGACTGTCCTTGTTCCATTACCATCCCCTAGCTCTTTGCCTTTCCACTTTCTGGGATCTCGACTCAGCCTCGCTGCTGCCTCCCAGTACACTGCCCATGGTACATGGATGTGGAGAGCATCTATAATGAGGGCATGACTAGTGGTAGAGGCAAGGAGAGAACTGGAAATGATGGCATGTTCTGGAAAGTGTTGCTTATGGGTCTACATCAATGCGTGGGAATGGCAGAGAGGCACAACTCAGTTGAAAAGGGGGCTATAACCTCTCCCAAAGTAAACAAACCACTTTTGGAGAAAGCACAGCCAAGTCAGCAAAATGTGTCTGCCCACTTTCTCTGGTCACTGACATCATAAGGCAATATGGTATCTCAAGCATAGGTGCCATGGGGATGAGTTGCTGCCCTAGCTCTGCCATTTGTCACTTCTGTGACTTTGGAAAGATGACTTCATCTTTCTGAATCTCCCTTCCTTATCTGTAAAAAGGACAATGACCTGCCCTTACTCTCTTATAAGCTACCACATGGTATATAAATGGTGGTTATTGTGATAAGTTATGATCAGTGTAGTCTTCCCTAGGAAACAATCTATGCCAATTACAATTTGGCAACCCCTTCCCTTTCTTACCAAAGTCCCCCCAACTTCCTACAGAGGCCCCCCCACGATGTGCCGTATCGGAAGCCCAGTGTCTGAACCAAATCCTGTGATAATACAACCAAAGGAATAGTAAAGAGCAGAAAACTGTTTACCGTTAATTGAGCCTGCCACTGGAGTTCACCTGTTAGGCATATTCATGTTTTAGCCCAAAAACATCATTACTGACTATTGAAGAGATGAGTCATATCACTGTGATCCGAGAAGAAACGATATGGATTAGGACTATGCTGCCTATTTTTGTAAGATTAGAGCCCAGCTCTCAGTCATCTGTCTGTGGGTCCCAAAGTGGGCTGCACCCTGGGAACTCAGCGACCTGCTCCACCACATTGGGAGGACACAGGGGAAATGCATTCAGTACTTGCTTCCTTGTTGGCCATCTTCTTTAACCATTGGAATAAATGTCTTACTCTACCCTGCACAGTAACTTCGCTTCTCCTCTCTTTCTCCCCTAAGTCCCAGAGGAACACTGGACCCATCTCAAACTCACCATAAAATTTGTCACAATTGAAATTCTCTACTTAAGAGCAGCCTCATCCTGGCACCTAGGTGGTTCACACGGTGACTACGTGAGGGAGCAGGATGAACACCTGTCAGAGGCTGGCGACTCCAGCCTGCTGGAGGGGCCACTTAGAGACACAACAGAATTTCACTTAAACGTGGAAAGAAAAGAAGCATGTTGCCTTAATAAGCTCATAAAAGATAGCACCCTTTGAGAAAGTAACAAAAGTCCTTCTGTTATTCTTGAAAGAGCATCTAGGGAAACACGTCTTTTTTTTTTTTTTTTTTTTCCTCGAAGGGCTATAGTTTGTATAGAATTCGTTTTTTGCAACAACGTTAATGAGTGGGCTTTCCTTTATTGAAGAAAGAAACATTTCACTTCCCATGCTTAGAATAAAAATAAGCTTTCTGAAATTTATGTCCCCAATTTTCTGACTAATTCTGAAATGTTTATAGCCTACACTGCACGTCACAATGGAGTGTGCTCGTTGGACTTTCTGTTTTAAACCACATGTTCACGTTCCTATTGGTTTAGGGCCTTGGAGGCATGTGGAGGGTTCCACAGTAAGTCTGTTGCCTTGTTCCCCATCAGCATCCTTCTTAGGGGAAATACCTTTTTTTTCTTTCTCTTTACCTTTCCCTGACCCCCTCAGTGCTTTCCAAACTGAGCAGAGGCCAGAGTAAGGTCACCTCCTTGATGAGGGGAACGCTGCACACTAGCCCAGGAGTAGGAGGAGCCAGCATCCAGATTCCCTCATGTCCGAGCTATGTTGCTTTTCAGTCTCTTTATCTAAAAAGCAGGCACTAATTATTTCCCCCTCCATCTCGCCGCCCACCTCCAGTGAAGGCATCTTTAAGCTGCGCGTGCTGTTTATATCTGCAACATGACAATCTGAGCTTGTTTGCTCTACCAACTTTCCCACCTCTCTCATCACCCCTTTCCCCCTTCACAGCCTGGCAAGTGAACACTTGCAAACCCACTTCATCTTACACTGGCACAGACTGCTTTGATTAACTAAGTGCAACAAAACCAGCCTTTCCCCACTCTCAGCCTCTCCGTCCTCCAGGCAGTGGAAATACTTTGGCCTCGTGTGTTTTAGTGGGGCCCACTTTTCCAAAATGCTGTCCAAATTCAAACCAGTTGGCTTCCTTTGAAAGCCCCTCTCACTATTTGTCTGACAATGGGCTCAGCTCCCCCCGAGGCCAGTGTATCCCCTTCTCTTTGGTTTGCCCTACTGGTCCTCATAATGTTCTCAAGCCCACCTTGTCTGGCCTTCTAGCACTTTTCCTCTTGCCCTCATGTCCTTGCGAGTGCAATCACATTACAACCAGCTAAATCGACCTGATATGATGACCTTATTTTCCTATAGCAGGTGACTGCTTTTCAAAGCACATGGACCTCCTTATCTTCTTTTGATCACAAAAAGAAAGGTAGTCCCTATTACTTCAAGATATTGAGGTTCAAGGAGGTTCAGTGAACTGCATCCAACAGTGGGGTAGAAATAAAATAGAACCTGGTCATTGTTTTCTAAGTCTAGTAATCTTTGCACTCTTCCTGCTCAGTCATCAGCCACCCTATCACAAGCATATGATGACGGTTTAGTGTGCCTGTAGTCTCAGCTACTTGGGAGGCTGAAACAGGAGGATTGCTTGAGTCAAGGAGTTCTAGGCTGTAGTGCACTAGGCCGATTGGGTGTCCACACTAAGTTCGGCATCAATATGGTGATCTCCCAGAGGTGGGGGGCCACCAGGTTGCGTAAGGCCACCAGTGTAGGTCAGAAATGGAGCAGGTCAAAGCTCCCGTGCTGATCAGTCGTGGTATCGTGCCTGTGAGTAGCAACTGCCCTCCAGCCTGGAAAACATGGTAAGACCCCCATCTCTAAAAATAGTAAATAAATAATAAAAAAATAAAACAAGTTGCTTTGCACAGTGGCTGACATTTCTACAACTGTAAGAACGTCAGTAAAGCAGCATAATTTGTGCAGCTCTTAGGAATTAAGTCTTCCATTTGCCACTCTTTAATATTTTCAAATCTCATCTCAAATAATACCAAAAATGACAATAGCAATTTACTACTAATAGTAAAAGAAGTAATAACAGTAACGTGCCGTCCACCGCTCGCCAGGCACAGTCCTTCAATGGATATGTCTTTGAATCTTTACAACCGTCCTCAAGGATTATATTATCATACTTTATAGCATGGGAAAAAGTGAACTCAGAGAGGCAAAGACATTTGCTTCAGGTCACAGGTCCCCAAGTGTCTGACAGCCATCATGCTATCCATTTCTTCTGGTCCTGTTAGCTTACCTGAATCCATCCTTATTTAATAGGCTCTGGCCCACTATGTCATCAATATCATTAACACTGTTATGGTGTGGCTTCAATAATTAATTTCAGCTCCTGTTGTTTTCATAAATTCAGTTATGCCAGAATAACTTCAAATATTTTCTCCAACAGTCCGGAATTCACCAGCCTATAACACTTTTGTGCCAAACTGACCTTCTCCCACAAAGTGAGCGGAAATAAATTCAGATGTCATTGCTCCTTGTCGAGTGTATTATTGCTTATTATGAATTTTCCCAATCAGAAACTTAAAGGCAGCAATCTGGGCAGTGCAGCTGGGTTTGTGTACTTGCTTCTGTCAGCATGCCGTTTACTCTTTAGAGTCAAGCTGCCCTCACGTGCAAACAGAAATGGAAAATAATAACAACTCTGGCCCCAGTGATGACATTTTGTAGTTACAATTCATCCATCATATTGGGGTTTCCTAGGCTGCTCATCTATAATAATATGGGCACCAGCAGCCGCTTCTTTTTGGAACTTAACAGGGTTTTGTGGGTCCTGGAGTAATCATTTCTGGAAGAGTTAAGCCAAGGAGCGCAGCATGCTCTAAATACTACTAGCTAAGAATGGATGTTCAATGATTATTTGTTCTGAAGTACCATGTTGTATTTGTTCCTAGCAAGAATTTACTTAGAAATACCAACAAACTATCAATTAAATCCTTTCCAGAGTCAAAAATGGAGCTAGAGCGTTGCTTTTAGATGTGATGCTGAACAGATTGCGTTTCCTAGCAAAGTACCTTTCATAGTTGATAATTTCATAGGCAAACATCTGTAAGGGTAATTCACTGTTAATGAGGGATGCTGAATTTGCTAGCTAGGGTTTAGGGAACTTGATTTGATAAACTGTATCTTCTCACAGATTTCTTCCTGCCATATGGTTCAGGTTGGTAAACACCTACGTGGCACCTCTTTTTGATTACAGTATGATCTGTGTTTATAGCATTCTAAATTGTGGTAATTCTACTTATTAGGTTTGTGTTTTACTTTACAGGTTTAGCATAGAAAGAACTTACTACACAAATACAGGACAAACATGTACAGGACTTATTATTTATTTTTTTACTTTTGACAGGGAAACAAATAAAAATGCCCATCTTACAAGGGAGAAAAAAAATGGATCAGGGAACCAAATTGGTCAGACAATTATGTCTGAAAGAAAATGTGATTATATTATCATAACTATGCAACATAATCAAGCATCTTTCAGTGGAATTTCTTTTAGAAATTTAACCAATAATTAGGCAATTGATTTC